CGTAAATGAAACAATATTAAAGCTTAAATCATACATTGATCCTAATACCTTAATAGTGGGAGACTTCAACACCCCACTCTCATCAAGGGACAGATCAACCAGACAGACACCAAATAGGGAAATGAAAGCACTCACAGAATCCCTAAATCAAATGGACCTAATAGATGTCTACAGATCTTTTCACCCAAACTCAAAAGAGTACACCTTCTTTTCAGCACCGCATGGAACCTTCTCCAAAATAGACCATATAGTTGGTCACAAAGCAAGCCTCAACAGATACAAAAGGATTGAAATAATCCCTTGTATACTATCTGACCACCATGGACTAAAGCTGGACATCAACAACAACAGAAACAACAAAAAGCCAACACGCACATGGAAACTGAACAACTTACTACTCAATGACAGCTGGGTCAAGGAAGAAATAAAGAAAGAAATTAAAGACTTTCTAGAATTCAATGAAAATGAAGGCACAACATACCCAAATTTATGGGACACATTGAAAGCAGTGCTCAGAGGAAAATTTATAGCACTAAGTGCCTACAAGAAGAAATCCGTAACATCACATACAAACAACTTAATGGCCCAACTGAAAAACCTAGAAAAAAAAGAAGCAGATACACCCAAGAGGAGCAGACGGCTGGAAATAATCAAAGTAAGGGCAGAAATCAATCAATTAGAAACAAATAAAATTATCCAAAGAATCAATGAAACAAAAAGCTGGTTCTTTGAGAAAATCAACAAGATAGACAAACCCTTAGCCAAACTAACTAAAAAGCAGAGAGAAACCATACAAATCAGCAAAATCAGAAAGGAAAATGGGGACATAACTACAGACACTGAGGAAATCCAAACGATTATTAGGTCATACTACAAAAGCCTATATGGCACAAAATTTGAAAATCTAAATGAAATGGATAACTTTCTTGACAGATTCCATCTACCAAAATTAAGTCAAGATCAGGTAGAAAGACTGAATAGTCCTATATCTCCCAAGGAAATAGAAGCAGTCATTAACAGTCTCCCCTCCAAAAAAAGCCCTGGACCAGATGGCTTCAGCGCAGAATTCTACAAGACCTTCAAAGAAGTACTAACACCAATTCTCCACAAACTATTCCATAAAATAGAAACAGAAGGAACACTACCAAACTCATTCTATGAAGCCACAGTCACTTTGATACCTAAACCACACAAAGATCCAACAAAAAAAGAGAACTTCAGACCTATCTCTCTTATGAACATTGATGCAAAAATACTCAATAAAATACTTGCAAATCAAATCCAAGAACACATCAAAGATATCATCCACCATGACCAAGTAGGCTTCATCCCAGGAATGCAAGGGTGGTTCAACATACGGAAATCCATCAATGTAATCCACCACATAAACAAAATGAAGGAGAAAAACCACATGATCATCTCCTTAGATGCTGAAAAAGCATTTGACAAAGTCCAGCACCCATTTATGTTTAAAGTCTTGGAGAGATCAGGGATACAAGGCACATACCTAAAGATAGTAAAGGCAATATACAGCAAGCCTATAGCCAACATCAAACTCAATGGAGAGAAACTTAAATCAATCCCACTGAAATCAGGGACAAGACAAGGCTGCCCACTCTCTCCATATCTCTTTAACATTGTACTTGAAGTCCTAGCCAGAGCAATAAGACAACTAAAGGAGATCAAGGGGATACAAATCGGAAAGGAAGAGGTCAAAGTGTCACTATTTGCAGATGATATGATAGTATACATGAGCGACCCCAAAGATTCAACCAGAGAACTTCTTCAGCTGATAAACACCTTCAGCAAAGTGGCAGGATACAAAATCAACTCAAAAAAATCAGAGGCCCTCTTGTATACCAAAGACAAAAAGGCTGAGAAAGAAATTAGGGAAACAACACCCTTCACAATAGCCACTAACAACATAAAGTACCTTGGTGTGACTCTAACCAAGCAAGTGAAAGACCTATTTGAGAAAAACTTCAAGTCTTTGAAGAAAGAAATTGAAGATCTCAGAAGATGGAAAGATCTCCCGTGCTCATGGATTGGTAGGATTAACATTGTGAAAATGGCCATCCTGCCAAAAGCAATCTACAGATTCAATGCAATTCCCATCAAAATACCAACTCAATTCTTTACAGACCTTGAAAAAAAGATTCTCAGCTTCATATGGAGAAACAAAAAACCCAGAATCTCCAAAACGATCCTGTACAACAACAGATCATCTGGAGGTATCTCCATTCCCGATCTCAAGCTGTACTACAGGGCAACAGTAATAAAAACTGCATGGTATTGGCATAGAAACAGAAAGGAGGATCAATGGAATCGCATAGAAGACCCAGAAATAAACCCACACACCTATGAATTCTCAATATTTGACAAAGAAGCCAAATCCATTCAATGGAAAAAAGACAGCATCTTCAACAAATGGTGCTGGACCAACTGGATGTCTACATGCAGAAAAATGAAAATAGATCCATATCTATCACCCTGCACAAAACTAAAGTCCAAGTGGATCAAGGACCTCACCATAAAACCAGATACTCTAAATCAGCTGGAAAAAAAAGTGGGAAACAGCCTAGAATTCATTGGCACAGGAGACAACTTCCTGAACAGAACACCAACAGCACAGGCTCTAAGAGCAACAATCAATAAATGGGACCTCATGAAACTGAAAAGCTTCTGTAAAGCAAAAGACACTGTCATCAAAACAAATAGACAGCCTACAGATTGGGAAAGAATCTTCACCAACCCTTTATCTGACAGAGGGCTAATATCAAGTATATATAAAGAACTAAAGAAGCAGAAAAGCAACAAACCAAGTAATCTACTTAAAAAATGGGGAACAGAGCTAAACAGAGAATTCTCGAAAGAGGAACGTCGAATGGCAGAGAAACACTTAAAGAAATGCTCAACCTCATTAGCCATTAGGGAAATGCAAATCAAAACGACCCTGAGATATCACCTTACACCCATCAGAATGGCCAAGATGAAAAACTCAAGTGATAGCACATGCTGGAGAGGTTGTGGAGAAAAGGGAACCCTCCTCCATTGCTGGTGGGAATGTAAACTGGTTCAACCACTCTGGAAGTCAATCTGGCGCTTTCTCAGACAACTAGGAGTAGTGCTACCTCAAGACCCAGCTATACCACTCCTAGGTATATACCCAAAATTTGCTCAAGTACACAACAAGGACATTTGTTCAACCATGTTCATAGCAGCTTTATTTGTAATAGCCAGAACTTGGAAACAACCCAGATGTCCATCAACGGAGGAATGGATACAGAAACTGTGGTATTTTTACACAATGGAATACTACTCAGCAATCAAAAAGGAAGAAATCATGAAATTTGCAGGCAAGTGGTGGGATCTAGAAAAGATCATTCTGAGTGAAGTATCCCAGAAGGAGAAAGACAAACTTGGTATATACTCGCTTATATAGACCTACAAGACATGATAAACATAATGAAATCTACACACCTAAAGAAGATAATCAAGAAAGTGGACACAGGCGAAGGTGATTAATCCTCATTTAGAAAGACAAATGGGATGTGCATTGAACTTATGACAGGAGTCCATCACAAAAGGCATCTGAAAGACTCTACCTAGCAGTGTTTCAAAGCAGACACTAAGACTCATAACCAAACCCTCGGCAGAGTGCAGGGAATCATATGAAAGAAGGGAAGTTAGTATGATATGGAAAGGATAGGAGCTCCACAAGGACCAAATATATCTGGGCACAGGGTCTTTTCTGAGACTGACACTCAACCAAGGACCATCTATGGATATAACCTAGAACTTCTGCTCGGATGTGGCCTGTGGTAGCTCAGTAACCAAGTAGTTTTCCAAAGTAAGGGGAACACGGACTATTTCTAATAGGATCTCAAGGGCAGGCTGTTTGACCCCCACCCCAGGGGAGGAGCAGTCTGTTAGGCCACAGAGGAGGACTTTGCAGCCAGCCCTGAAGATACCTGATAAAACAGGGTCAGATGAAAGGGGAGGAGGTCCTCCCCTATCAGGGGACTTGGAAAGGGGCAGGGAGGAGACCAGGGAGGGAGTGTGGGGTTGGGGAGGGAATGAGGGAGCGGGATACAGCTGGGACACAGAGTTAACAAAATGTAACTAAAAAGAAAAATAAAATAAAAATAAAAAAATTAAAAAAAATAAAATAAAATAAAAATAAAAATCGGTGTGAAATCCCAGACCCTCTCAAATCAGACTTTAATACCAGATGCAAAGCATTTGTGCTTTGTTGTGAGTCCCCAACAGCCATAAACCTAAGGTAACAAGTACTCAAAGACAGAAGACATGAATAAGGCATGCATACCGTGATTCTCAAAGGGCTTTCTCACTCAACAAGGCAATTCCATTCTAACTGCCTGCCTCACATCACATCCTGAGAAGGCCTAAAGTCAGGGTACTGAGTTCTATCTTCTACACTACATCTTTGGCAAATCGTTCTTAACCATTTTTATGTTTCTAACACAATCATTTGGCAGTTCCGGACCTCACACTGTTTCCTAGAAATGACATGTTAGAAACTAACAGAAACATAGCCACTTTGCAAAAATGCATCGACCAGTACCAATAATTTCAGTCACTACATTTTTTCTCTTCCTCACTCTAAAAAGCCTTTTAAAGAATTCTAGACGTAGCAGCTAAATACAACTCTGGTTTGTTTCTGTGCTGTGCACCTTCTAATTCAAGAGGCTTACACATTTAATAACTTAATCTCCACACTCCACCATCTCCGTCTACGGTAACCTGCAAACCCAAAGGTGTAAGGGTAGTGATACTACGGTAACAGACAACTAAACACCAAATTAAAATAGCAAAATCTACATTGCTTTTAAATAGCTTGGCAGGAAAAAGGTGCCAAGCAAACAATGTGTGGCTACTCCCGAGCAAGCACACAGGGAATCAACCAGTACTCTGGATTTGGGGGATGAGGGTAGGGAGGTGGGAGTGTTCCGCTGTTCAAATGTACATGCTATACTTGCCTAAAGGCACCCAAACAAAGACTCCGGCGGTGTCCGCCCTCACCTGCGCATACAGTGCAGGGGACCGGCGTCCGTCAGGAGCGCGCCGGGGCCGGTGTCACGTGCTACCACATCCCGCCGGTGACCGCGCCGCCCCGGACCGCCTGACGTCTCCAAGGGCCGGCGGCTGCACTCCGCGCCGAGTGCCCAACATGCTGGGCGGCGCCCAGCGTTGTTTTTCCGGAAGCGCTGGCAGCCGAACCGGCTGACCTGGAAGAGGAGAAAAGCTATCAGCAATGGCCTTCCCCCGCCCCGGCCGCTCTAGCCCGCCCGGCCGCGTCACCAACCTGAGGCCCGCGCTGAGGAGCACCGGCCCAGCCGCCTGGCTCTTCATCGGGCCAGAAGCCGGCCCGGGCACCCTTGCCCTCCCGGGACCCAGGGTCTTGCTTGTGGCTCCTCTACCGTTTCCCTCCCGGCCCCCGCCCAGGCAGGCCCGCGGCCTCCTCTGAGCCTCACCCTCTGGGGCGCGTTTCCGGCTTCTCAGCCACTCGGCTTACGTGCAACCTGTCCACTGCCTGCGCTCTGACCCTCCCTTCCGTATATGCGCACGCCCACCACCCCTCTACGCGTGCGCAGCACAGAGCTCCGGGAATGGGCGGGCTTCCAGACCTCCACCCAGAGCGTTGGGCTCAGGTGTGTCCCAATCCGATAGAGCACCAAGTAATCGATCGCCGTTGCTAAGAGACCAAAACAAGTACAAGAGCAAGAGGTGCTTTCTGAAGGCCAAGGTTCATCTGCTTTTCGGTCCAAATAGCATGTCCTCACGTAGGGAAACATAAGTCTGCATAGCACATTATGAAATATAGGATTAGGCCAGACAGTGGTAGTGTGGCCCAGAAAGAATTGGGTTTCGACTCTGAAACTTGTAGGCTTGTGAAGTTTCCCCGCTTCCATGTCATAAAGAATGGTATTGGGATTTGTGCAGCTTTTCGTCTTCTCTCCTTGCCTTTCCATCCCTACAGCACGGACAACCTTACATTATGTTTATTCATATGGGCAGGTCGGTGGATGAGTACGCGGTTACTAGAACAAATGTGCATGTGAGGTTAGAGAACAACTGACAAGAATTAGTTCTAGAGCTGGAGAGATGGCTCAGAGGTTAAAAGCACTGACTGCTCTTCCAAAGGTTCTGAGTTCAATTCCCAGCAACCACCTGGTGGCTCACAACCATCTATAATGAGATCTGGTGCTCTCTTCTAGTGTACAAGTGTACATGCTGGCAGAATAATGTATACATAATAAATAAATCTTTAAAAAAAGAATTAGTTCTAATGCAAATCAAAATGACCCTGAGATTTTTACCTTACAACCATCAGAATGGCTAAGATCAAAAACTCATGTAACAACACATGCTAGAGTGGATGTGGACAAAGGTTGCTGGTAGGAATGTAAACTTGTACAACCACTTTGGAAATCAATCTGGCACTTTCTCAGACAATTAGGAATAGTGCTACCTCAAGATCCACTCCTAGACATATATCCAAAAGATGGTCAAGTATACAACAAGGACATGTTTGTAGCAGCTTTATTTGTAATAACCAGAACCTGGAAACAGCCCAGATGTCCATCAGCTGAGGAATGGATACAGAAACTATGGTAAATTTACACAATGGAATACTACTCAGCAATTAAAAACAAGGAAATCATGAAATTTGCAGGCAAATGGTGGGAACTAGAGAAGATCATCCTGAGCAGAAAGACATACAGTGTATATACTTACTCATAAGTGGATATTAGATATATAAAACAGGATAATCATACTAAAATACTGAAGAAGCTAATCAAGAAAGAGGACCCTGGATAAGATGCTCAATCTTCATTCAAAAAGGCAAATGGGATGGATATCAGAAGAGGGAGAAAAACAAGGAACAGGACAGGAGCCTCCCACAGAGGGCCTCTGAAAGACTCTACCCTGCAGGGCATCAAAGCAGATGCTGAGACTTATAGTCAAACTTTGGGCAGAGTGCAGGGAATCTTATGAGAGAAGGGGGAAACAGAAAGACCTGGAGGGGACAGGAGTTCCACAAGGAGAGCAACAGAACAAAAAAAATCTGGGCACAGATGTCTTTCTGAGACTGATACTCCAACCAAGTACCATTCATGGAGATAACCTAGAACCCCTGCACAGATGTAGCCCATAGCAGTTCAGTGTCCAAGTGGGTTCCATAGTAATGGGAACAGGGACTGTCTCTGACTTGATCTCAGGGGCTGGCTCTTTGATCACCACCCCTGAGAAGTGAGCAGCCTTACCAGGCCACAGAGGAAGACAATGCAGCCTGATAGACTAGGGTCAGATGGAAGGGGAGAAGGACCTCTTCTATCTGTGGACTGAGGGAAAGGCATAGGAGAAGAAGAGAGAGGGATGATAGGACTAGGAGGGAATGTGGGAGGGGGCTACAACTGGGATACAAAGTGAATAAACTGTAATTAATAAAAAGAAAATGAAGTATTAAAAAATTCTTGTGGGTGAAGGAGTAGAAGGCAAAATAATTAAAATACAGTCCAGCTTACTTTTTTTCTGTCAGAGAAAGTTCTCTCTCATCCTCAGTTGATAATTTTCTTGGACTATGTAATTCCTTATTACCTTGTAAGGTTTGAAATAAATTACTTAGCTCTTGAGTATTTATTCCAATTGTGGACCTTAGCCAATTAATATCTCCCAATAATTATTGAAAATTTTTAAGAGTTTTAAATTGGTCTCTTCTGGTTGAACCTTCTGTACTACAATTTTCTGTAGACATATCTTTTTCCCTAGATAATTAACAGAATCTCTTTGCCCCGGCCAGCGGAGCTTGTTATTAGCGGGGATAGAAGAGAATCCGAACCTGTAAAAGATGGGTGAGAAAGAGAAACCAGTCCAAGCAAACAGGTGCTTGTCAAAGACTAACTTTACTGAGCAGAATCAGCTTTTATAAAGGGTTCAGGATAAGGAAGTAGGGTGGGTGAAAAATTACAGATTCTTCTCGGCCAGGGGCCTGAAACATCTTGTGATAAGCCATGGTTCTGTGAGCACATCTCTGCTGTTGCCAAGCAGTATGTTTACCGCAGGTAAGGAAACGGGCAAGTTGAGGCAGGTTGGTGAGTTTCTACAGGTGGTCTCTGACATCTCCAAGCAGTATGTTTACTGCAGGTAAGGGAACGGGCATCTCCAAGCAGTATGTTTACTGCAGGTAAGGGAACAGGCATCTCCAAGCAGTATGTTTACTGCAGGTAAGGGAACAGGCAAATTGAGGCAAGTTGGTAAGCTTCCACAGGTGGTCTCTGAAGTTGGCGAGTTCCCTCAGGTGGTCCCTGACATCTCTTCACTGGATTTTTTCAGGAGCACTTTGTAATCCCCAGCAAGGCAAAATTCTCATTTACCTCATCATTTTTCCCCTAAGGTATCTCCATCTGAAGTAGCCAGCAAAATATCATCTATATAATGGTAAATTATGAATTGAGAATGTTGCTTAGAATTATTTCTAATGGCTGTTGTACAAAATATTGACATAAAGTAGGACTATTCAACATTCCTTTTGGAAGTGCTTTCCATTTTTATTGACCACTTATTATTATAAATATGTATTGAGAAAGCAAACATTTCTGTATCATGTGCATGCAAAGGGATTATGAAAAAGCAATTTTTTAAGTAAGACCTAATAATTCTTTGTATTTCCTCAGTATGTGTTATGTCTTCCTTTCCATTTCTGATTTTGTTAATTTGGATACTGTTTCTTTGCCTTTTAGTTAGTTTGGCTAAGAGTTTGCCTATCTTGTTGATTTTCTCAAAGAACCAGATCGTGGGTTGTTTGTTTTTTTTTTTTTTGGTTGTTTGTTTTTGTTTTGTTCTGTTTTTGATTCTTTGTCTTGTTCTCTTTGTTTCTAATTCATTGATTTCAGTCCTGAGTTTGATTATTTCCTGCTGTCTGCACCTCTTTGCTTCTTTTTGTTCTAGCACTTTCAGGTGTCCTTTTAAGTTGCTAGTATGAGATCTCTCGAATTTTTTTTTTTTTATGAACTTTCCTCTTAGCACTTTAATTGTGTCTCATAAGTTTGGGCATGTTGTACCTTCATTTTCCTTAAATTCTAGAAAGTTTTTTGTTGTTGTTGTTTGTTTTTCAAGACAAGGTTTCTATGAGTAAGTCCTGGACTTGCTTTGTAGGCCAGGCTGTGCTCAAACTCACAGAGATCTATCTCCCTCTGCCACACCACCCCCCGAAGTGCTGGGATTAAAAGTTATCATTTGGAAGTCTAAAAAGATGTTCCAAAAGTTACAAAAGATAGAATCATGAGGACTGTGTTACAGATCCCAGAATTCAACTTAACATGCAAGGCCTATACCTAATGCCTATACCTAATGCCCAGCTCCAGCAAAAGCAAAGGAAGGAGATCTGTTGGACTTGATGGCTTTTATCCTGTATAAGAAAACATGAGCTGCAGATTCAGGGAGAAACCCTGCCTGAAAGGAATAAATGGATAGTAACAGAGACAAATAGCTAAAGGATACATGTTAAACCAAGGCATGGTAATATACAGTTGTAATCCACACACTGGAGAAGAAGGGACTCACTAGACAGGCAATCTAACCTATTGGTGCAGTCCAGGCTAATGAGCAATCTTGTATCAAGAAACAAAATGAGTGAAGCCTGAAGAACTGAAACCAATGTTGTCACTTTGAACTCCATGGACAGGCACACGTAGTGTACACATCCCCACCACCACACACACACAGAAGAGAGAAAAAAAGAGAGAAAGAGAAAAGAAAGATTAGGAGAATCAAACATTCTGTCTTTAAATATGATTATTTTCTTTATCCAATGTAAGCATACATTTATTTATATGAAGGAAAAAGAATCCTCAATTGTATAATAGATGCTAAGTGAGAAAAATATATTTACATATTCCAAAAAAAAAGATGAGCACCACTATACCCACTTTTCTAGAAAGTTTAATTTATTTCTTTATTTCTTCTCTGACCTATTGGTCATTAAGTAGAGAGTTGTTCAGATTCCATGAATTTGTAGACTTTCTGTTGTTAAAGTCCAGCTTTAATCCATGGTGGTCTGATAAGATTCAAGGAGTTATTTCAATTTTCTTGAATCTGTCGAGGCTTGCTTTGCGATCAACTATATGGACAATTTGGAAAAGGTTCTATAAGGTTCTAAGAAGGTATATTTTTTTGTGTTTGGTTGAAATGTTCTGTTGATACATTTGATTCTGTTAGGTCCATTTCAATCATTACATCATTTAGTTTCTTTGTTTACAGTAATATCTTTCTTTAGGTTGGGGAAGTTTTTCTGGTTTTGTTTGTTTGGTTCGGTTTAGTTTTTTGAGACAGGGTTTCTCTGTGTAGCCTTGGCTGTCATGAACTCTCTTTGTAGACCAGGCTGTCCTCAAACTCACAGTGATCCACCTGCCTCTGCCTCCCTGATGCTGGATTACAGGTGTAGGCCACCGTG